GGGGGGGGGGGGGGGGGGGGGGGGGGGGGGGGGGGGGGGGCTTCTGGCCTGGGCCCAGCCTTCTTTCCTGAAACCCAGAGCTTAGCCCCTCAGCCTGGTCCTTTCCCTTCCTCCCTCCCTTCCTCATTTCTTCCTTCCTTCGTTTTTTTGTTTTGTTTTGTTTTTGAGACAGTTTCTCCCTGTAACAGAGCTCTGGCTGTTCTGTACTTGCTTTGTAGATGAGGCTGGACTTGAACTCACAGATATCTGCCTCCCTCTGCCTCCCAAGTGCTAGGATTAAAGGCATGTGTTACCATGCCTGGCTTTAATTATTTCTTGATATTTATTTATTAGGCACAGGGGGGGGGGGGGGGGGGGGGTTGTGCTGTGGAGATCTTGTGGATGTCAGAGGACAACCTTTGGGGTATTTTCCTACCATGGGATCCTAGGGTTCAACTCAGGTCATCAGCCTTGGTGGCAATTGCCTTTAACCATTGAGCCATCTTGTCAGCCCTTCCTTTTTCTTTTTCAAGAAAAGTAAACCCATCAGAAGGGTATCTTTTGTGGAGTGTCAATAACAGTGTGTGCCTATGACAGGCACAGCCACCTTCCCCTAGAGACAGCGCCTTTCATCTTCTGTCTGGTGAGCCTGTTCTAACAGCCTGTTTGCTGTGGCGGCCAGCAGACATCTTTATTTCAGAGCAACACACAAACACTTCAGTCTTTGAAAGGACTGGGGCCCTTGGGACAAGTCTGTGCCTTTCATGGGGCAGGTGAGAGGCAGCAGGTGCTATTAGGTTCCTGTGCACTGGGGAGAAGCCAAAGCCTTGCTGTTCTTTCCCCAGTCGTCACAGGGCCTTTGAGGGAAATCAGCCAGGACCCAAGTGCCACTCCCTGTCACAGCCCCTATCCATGTCTGCTTGTGTTGTTGTCTGAGTTGTGTTGTTGAATCTGCTGTTGAGTGGCACCACAGTGTAGTCTCAGGCCTGACACTGTGGTCCTGAGACTTAGAACAGGACTGGCCTTGCCGCTGTCTTCAGTTATACCTGGTGTCCCACCAGTGAGAAACTCTTGTGTAGCCATACTTCCTTCCTCTCTGGGGCTCTTAGAAATTCAACATTTCATGTGGGGACTGTAACATCTCTTTCAGATGAAGCCACTGAGAACCCCAACTGGTGAGGACTAGAAGCACCTGAGCCTCGTCCTTCATAGATCATTGTTTGGGTCAGGAACACTGACCTCTAGATAGTAGCTATCAGCTTCTATCTTTTTCAGCTTCAGGCAGAACCCAGAACCCAGAACTTGCATAAACCAGATCCCTGGACAGTTCTGATAACACCCAACTAAGAAATCAGATAAAGAACTCCAGCATCAAGCCGGGTGCGGTGGCACATGCCTATAATCCCAGTACCCAGAGGCAGGCAGATCTCTGTGAGTTCGAGTCCAGCCTGATCTACAGAGCAAGTCCAGGCCAGCCAAGGGGCTACACAGAGAAACCCTGTCTTGAAAAAGAAAAAAAAAAAATCTCCAGTATCTCTCCTCACCCCATGCCACTTGGTGAGGGGAAATGGTTGGGTAGAGATTATGGCAGCAGTGTAGTCTGGTGGTGATTCCATCCAACTCTGGCTCCTTTCTCGTAAGAAAGGTGACATTGTGTCACTGAGCTTGATAGCACCCTAGTCTCTCGTCTGAAAGGACATGTGGGATCTGGGTCACTCACTGGTTTTATTTAATACAGGATGGCCGTGGATATTTATGTCAGGGCTGCGGGTATAGTTCAGTGGCAGAGGGCATAGTTAGCACATGCGAGGCTCCGGGCGAGTCCAACCTCCAATACCACTACCAAGAAAATAAAACTTTGTTTCTGTTTTTCACACATACCTTAAACTACCTTTACAGACTCAGTCAAAACCTCAGGTAAAAAGTATTCAGGGGAAGAAAATGTGTCTGCACAAAAAGTATGAATAACACACTCACTATTAGCGGCTCCTGATGGGCATTTACATCACGGAGGGTATCATCCATAACCTGGAGCTGACTGCACACATCCTTTTAGATAAGGGTTTGTACACAGACGAGGGAGGCGGTGCTAGAACCAATCCCAGGCAAGGGACATCAGGAATGAAATGGCCTTAGCAAGGCTCCGACACCTTGTTACCAGGCCATCCGTCTGTCCCGTGAGTCTGAGGTCTACTGGAAATGCCATGAATGGACCTGTCCCACTGCAACTGCCCAGAAGTGGAGTCCCACCATATTTTTGCCCTTTATGTAGCGACTGGCGATAGTTGTATACCTTTTAGCAGCAGTGTTCAGTGGCCAGGGATACTTCATGAATCATTCTCACATATGGCCTTGCTACAGCCTGACAGATAAAGTACCAGTAAGGCTTGGTGTGGCTTTGTTAGGGTGTGTGGACTGAGGTTCCAGGGCAAGACTGGCCCCTCCACTGACCGGCGATTCTTTTCTTCCACAGAACTGTCAGACCTTCAGCAGCCTCAGTTGCCTGAGCATGGGGGTAGAAGACCACAGCTCCCAGAGCCCGTTTGCCCTTGTCAGCAGTACCAGATCCTGGACCGCATTGCTCTCAGCCTCCAGCCCAGGGGGCAGAACCCCTGCTGGGACCCCAGTTCCTGAGTCTGTTCCCCACTCCTTTGATGACCACTTCACCTGCCAGGAGGACCTCTCCTGTGAGGAGTCAGATGGCTGCAGTCTAGACGAGGATTGCTGCAGGAAAGGGGAGCCGGCCACAACCTGGCGGGACCGTGGAGCCTGCACGAACAGCCTCTGCTCTCTGGACGGCGAGCTGGACATTGAGCAGATAGAGAACAACTGAGGAGGGGCTGAGGGGTCAGGGCTGGGGGGGGGGGAGGCTTGGCAATGGATGGGCCTTCCTCCAGGCAGGCCTTAGGTGGCCACTCCAAGGGGATCCTGGCTCCTGGGTCCGGCAAAAGCTCCCAGAAAGGAGCCCGCCCACTTCCCAGGGAAGAGCCATCACCCTGCAGTGCCCAAATCTGTGAAGGCAACCTAGCCACACCTCACAGGCAACAACTGGCCTCCCACCAGTTCCATGGAACTACTGTAGCCCAAGAACAGGATTCTGGTTTGGTCTCCTCCTCTTTGTTTCTTATGGAGTGCTGGGTAGCCATTCTCCAGTAAGGCTGGGCCAGCTGCATCCCTCAAGTAGGGTGCCAGGGGCCTGATCCCCCATGGCCTCGCTCAGGTTCCTTCTGGGGAGTTACCCAAAGCCTCATTTATTTAGTTTACTCCGTGCCTTCTCTCCCAGGTCTCCCTGCCCCAGGCTTGGGAAGGTTCGGGAGACACCTCTTGTGTGACAGCAGACCGTGTGGCCTTAATCCATTTGGGGCACTGGCAGGGATTCTGGGATAATCCATGTCCCATTTTTCGGGACCAGGGGAAAGGTCAGGGCTGACCAGAGGCCATCCATACTGGGTAGGAATTTGGTGGTTGTGTTGACTGAAAGATGGGCTCATCAGTTCTCCCATGGCACCAAGAATCACCCACACCCCTGCCACCTCAGGGGCTACCTTCGGCAGCCTTCCTACTGTCCCCAGTCCCTGGGGGCTGAGCTCAGTGGAGTCAGCTGAGTAGAGAGATGTCAGTGACAAGATGACCTCTTCATAGTGTCCTCAGGAACTACAGGCAGGTGTAGGAGTCTCAGCCCTGTGTACATTCCTGGGCAGAGGGATGTCTGCTGTCTGGCCACTTTGCAGGCTCCCCTCTGTAGCAGCCTGTGGTGGGGGCCTGCAAACCTCCGAAGCATTCATTCCCTGTACACTGTTGCTTGTTCACTGACACTGCTGGCTTTAATGAAAACATACCGCCGTCTTCAAGACAGCCCCCTCCCAGTCTACTGATGTGAGCCTAGCCCTAAGGTTCTTCTCTGCAGGCCCAGTCATAGCATGGCTTGAATCACACTCCCCCTCGCAGCTCCCCACTCCCAGCATAATTCCCAGAGGGCATCCATTCAGGCAGCTCTTCCCCCCAGTCTTCCCTGCAGACATGCTACAGGCTCTGCACTCTGGGACTCTGGCTTTTAGCAAACTTGGCATCTTCTGCAGACAATAGCAAGTGGGCCGGCTTACACAAGTGGCTTGTTTTCCCATAAGGCTAAAAATAACTGGTGCATTCTCTTGATTTCTCAGACGTGTGATCTAGGCACTTTGTAGTTACTCTGCTGCGCCTACCCATGGTTCCAAGGTTGAGCCCAAATGGTTGTTACCTTTCTCTTAAAGAAAGACCTGGATGGGAACCTTTTGTTTAAACTTTTGATTTGTCAGTTCACCAGAAGGACAAAGGCTCAAGTTCTGCTGTATAGGCAATGTTTCTTTAAAATCAGACCCAAAGGTACAAGAAGCCCCACTCCTATAGCCCGTTGGGCAGCATGATGGGTGCATGTGGTGGCAGTGGGGGACCAGCTAGCCTCCGGGGCACTGGAAAGCCAAAGTAGAAAGCTGTCGAAGGCGCGACATGGGAGCCCTGCCTGGTGGGTCATGGAGGAAGGTAGTTGAGAGGGCGTGGGATGCACACACCAGGGCTGTGTCTCTCAGGCCATAGCGAGAGGTCCTGGCATTTGGAGTAGATTCACGGTCCCTAAAGCCACCCCTCCTGAGGAAGACAGAGGCTGGGTCTTGGCCCCTGGTCTGCCTCACACAGTCTGCTAAGCACAGTTAAGCATAGCACAGTTGCCAGCTGCCTCCTGTGAACTGGGACCAGAAGCTCTGGTGGCAGGTGTGTGTCTTAAGGCTTTTTGTGTGGATGACTTGTCCTTTTAGACTATCTCCCGTAAGCCTGGTGGCTTAAGGACAAACAGGAACTCACTGAATGACAGCTTCATCCTTCCTTCCTGTCTCTAGGGCACTGTTCCCTGAGCAGAAATGCTTCAAACCTGAGGTAGGAGTTGGCCCTTTGCAGCTTCCTCAGGCAGTTCTTGATTGTCTCTGTACCCCCAAGGCCTCAGTCCAAGCCCCCAGAAAAAGCAGCCAGAGAAGAGGGCAGTAGCTTTTCTGCTTAAAGGAAGAGTTGTCGTCATTTGCTTCCTGGTGTTCTCATCGAGCAAAGCAGGGCTCGTGTAGGAGGTACCCATTCATCTTGCAGCAGTTATCCAGACAGACCCATCCACCCGCCCCACTCACTGGCCCAAGACCTCTGTTCTTGGATCTCTTGGAGGAAGGTTTACCTGGGAGGTTCCCTCTGGCTCCTATGTACTTGGCACCACGGGCAGCAGGCAGCCTGGCTCACCCCACAGCACGGTGGCTTCAGCGATTGCCAGCCTCGGCGCAGGCAACAGCAGAAGCCTCGTGCTCCTCAGCCTGCCTGGGAGTGCCATTTCCCTGGAGAAGCAGAGGTGTGCTTGGCCTCCCGCTTGCCTAGGGGGAGGTGTGAGTAGAGGTCTAGAGCAAGGCGTGACTCCACCAAAGCCAACAGGGAAAGTGGGCCTTCTAGCATATTGCATCCTACCCTAGAAGCCAGTGACAGGAGTTGCTCTCTGCGGGGTACCTGACCTGAGTTCAGGGTAGCGGCCCAGACAGTTTACACGACTGCCCCACTCTTGCCTTACTCATGGGTGGTGATGGTAGAACCTGGCCAGCACCCCCGGGCTCCCCCATGTTCAGGTCCAAGAAACTTGTTCTGCCCACACAGGCAGATGTACATGCTCAGAAAGCCTTACTTTAATTTTTTTTTTTTTTTTTTTTTTTTTTTTTTGTAGCAGGAAAAGTTTTTTAAGATTTGTATGCAGAAAGAAAAATAAAAGAAAGGTCCACATTAAACAGGAAATGCCCCCTCCCGGTTTTTAGATGGGTCTCCTCTGCAGACTGTTGGGCATGTTTTCATGCTCATACAGGCAAGGTTCACAGCAGTTAGAACTCAGCCCTGGATCCTGTACCCCATTCCCACTGATGTGGTTAAAGTTACTTGAATGATGGCCACTAAAATGTAAGCCAGGTACCAGGGCTCAGGGACGCTCTGCCCCTGCAGCAAATGAGGCTGCCTCTTGCCAATGTCTATGCTGCTGGTCAGACCTCTCCCCCGGTGCCAGGCCCCTTGAGGAGGAAGAGAAAGATATTTTAAAGTTGCAGACTGATGGAGCTCCTGTAGCCTAAGTAGGATAGCCTGACCTCCTGGCATAGTCTCATTGGCAAACAGATCGCATTGTCAGTGCTGGGGGACGCCCAGGGGTCGGGGACAGACGGGCCCACAGGCCATGCTAGGGCCACATGTGCCGTCCCAGCCAGGCAGCAGCGGTGGTACTGTTTCAGGCAGTGTGATAACTGGTGTGGTGGGTCAGGCCCCCGCCAGGGCGGCAGTTCGTGGGCTGCCCACGTTGGGTCCTTTCAGTAGCACCACGTACCGCTGCCTGCCCTCCCCCACAGGCCATGACTGTCTTGCACTACAGCCGCTCTAGTCTCAGGAATTTGCTTGTTACTTTTACTGTGTAAATAAAGCTTCCTGGTTCAACACCCGGCTGCCTGGGAGTGGCTGTGTGCTTTTTGTTGGGCGCAGCAAAGCAGCAGCCCTCCCGTCCCCTCTGTCCGTGAGAGCCTTGGCTCTGGACTGGGAGGACCACAGGGCAGACTTGCGTCCACGTGCCTCTGAGAGAGGATGCAGTACAGGGTGGCTGTGGTAGCAACTGCTAGACAGGGCTGCCCACAGCCACAGCAGCCAGCACAGGAAGCCTCAGAGGAGGACCTGGGACCTACTCTGGCACAGGGGATGGGAGCGTGATGCCCTGTTGTTTGTGAGGAAACTGACCTGGCTGAGAGATGGGCCGCACCAAGAAGAGGCCTGCAGGGCCTCGGAAGCCAACTTTCTTCTCCACAGAGCAGCCCGGGGGCTGTAGAGCTGGGCTGTCAGCTTAGGGTCTCCGCCCTCACAGAGGACAGCACAGTTCAGAACTCTGCTTCCTGAGCTGTGGAGATGTTAGAACACGGAGTTCACCCGAGGATGGGTACACAGTCCTGTGCTTATCCCCCAAACCAGAGACCTGGGTAACTAAAGCTCAGGAGAGGCCCTGTATCTGCAGTCCTGAGGACTCCTGTGGAGAGGTACATTTATTTTCTGCCACCCAATGTTGGTTCCTGTAATTGGGCCTTGGAATGGTCACCTCTGCTGTGGCCAGAGTGTCCTAGTCTGGAAGTGACGTCTTGGAATACTCTCCGCTTTACTTTTTTTTGGCAACATACCGCCTGTCAAACGAAATGGTATGTGAACATGTGACTTAAGAAAGTAGGAAGGTGGTGGAGGACAGAGAGAACCAAAGGACCCAGATTCAATTCTCAGCACCTACACAGCAGCTAGCAACCATATGTAGCTCTAGTTCCAGGGGATCCAATGGCATCTTCTTTCTGGTCTTCCTGGGCACTGCATGCATGTGGTACTCAGACATATATATAGGCAGAACATCCATATAAGAAAATAAAAAAAGAATTGAAGAAAAAGAGCTGTCCTGGAATGTGAACACATCTGAACCCCAGTATGCAGGCAGATTGCATATTCAAGGCCAGCCTGGGCTAAATATCACCTGGTCTCAACAACACAAAACAAAACAAAAAACCGCATGGGCTAATGATACAGCTTAGTGGTAGAAGCCCTTGCTAGGATGTGCTAAGCTAAGTTCAACCCCTAGAGGCAACAAAACAAACAACCCCACAAAACCACTCTCTTGCAGCCAAGGAGATGACAGCTTGGCAGGTAAAGGCCATCGCATGCACACTGGACACCCATGCACATATGCTGTGCACACGGAGTGTGTGAGAGACCCCGGGCTGGTCATCATTTGGTCTTCCCAGGACACCAGTCTTCTGTCTTTCATATGTGGTATGTGACAGTAGCAGGACAGAGGGCAAGAAAAGCCACCAAGAACAGCCCTGCTCCTCAGGCAGGGCACAATGGCCTCGAATGATCCAACAGCCCTATCGCCTGCACCTCATACTCTCCAGTGGTACCAGCTTCTTAGTGGTCCTGCTCCAGCTCACGTAGACCACATGGCCGCCCTGGCCTGGCCTGTGTCCTAACACTTCCCAATACTGCGTTTTGAGGTCCGCTTAAAGCAGGACCTGCTCGCAGCCAGGCCTGGGCCCGCAGGCAGCAGTGCCACCCATGCCATCCTTGGACAGCCGCAGGCCTTAGCGTTCTGCAGTCCCCAAGCCCCGCTGGACTGTGGCTGCATCCGTTGAGGGATGTTCCCCATTGCTAAGCAGGCCTCTCGTCTGTACGTGGCATGGTGACTCAGTGTTGGCCCTGTGCACACTAGAAAGCGGCCTTTTCCCAAAATGTGCATAGAAAAAGCAAGCCAAGAAAAAAATGTCACAGCCCGGACAGTGACCAGATCTCCAAGAAGCTACTGGGGCAGGAATGTATCCTCTCTGGAGGGAGAGGGCAATGTGTGCTGGGTGACCGCAGCCCTGAGGTCAGCACAGGCCATCTTCATGGGATTTCAAAAGGATGGAGGGAGCATCTCAGGATCCAGCTTCAGAAAGGACACAAGACACGGGACTAGACCTTGGAGTCCCCACTCTGCCTCTTACTTCTGGACCTTGGATGAGTCACTTTAAGGACCATTTCACTGATCCCACTGTGGCTCAGAGGACAGTGCGGTCCTGGACCAGATCATACAGGGTCTGCAGCCCACTCCTTGACAGAAAGAGAGAAAGCCCCGCTTATCAGGAGAGACAAGCCAAGGAGAGGCCATGGCAACTGCTAAGCAAAAAATAAAAGTGTTGGGGGGAAGAACCCCAATACCCATGGGGCACACTCACCAGCGTGACAACCCACTGCCCTGGCTATGGTGGTAACACACTATCCGTTCTGAGCCACTGTGCAACTCCACGGGGCTTTCTGTATATCCCACTAATAGGCCAAAGGCCCTCCCTTGAAGGTCAGTGACACCGGCCAGACTCCTCATCCTGATGCAGATATTCAGCCAGGTTTTTCTTCTGATAAACCAGAGGTCAGCCCGCCCATCGAGGCCTCACTGTGGTGCTCACAGTGCCAGGGGACCCAGGTTTCAGAGTGTCTTTGTCTGGGGAAAGCCTCTCAGAGGACCCGACTCTGTGTTTGCAGTTGTGCCACTGTGCTACACATCTGGAGGCCAGATGTCAACCTCAGGTCTTGGTCCTCAGACGACTCCGTACTTGTGCGTGTGTGTGCGTGGAAGCCGGGGTGAGCGTCAGGTGTCTTACTCAGTCTTTCTACCGTAAGTTTTAGTTTTCACTACATTTATTCTTTTGAGTGTGTGTGAGTGTAATGTGCTGCAGCATGGGTGTGGGGGCAAAAACAAAAACAACAAAACTTGCAAGAGTCGATTTATTCTCTCCTTCTATCCTACGGGTCTCAGGGATCAACCTCAGGTTGTTAGGCTTGGTGGCAAATGCCTACTCACTGAGCCATCTTGCCAGCCTGTCAGTTTTTGAGGTGGAGTCTTTCACGAACCTGGGGCTCACCAGTTTGGTCAGGCTGGCTGGCCACCCAGCCCCAGGATTCTCCTGACTTCACCTCCCTGTCCTTGGGATTACAATGGTACACCTTTTGGTTGGAGGATTTTTTGTAGGTGGTGGTGTTTGGGCTTTTTGTTGTTGTTTGTTTTCTTTTTGAGACAGGGTTTCTCTGTGTAGCTTTGACTTGTTTTGGAACTCACTCTAGACCAGGCTAGCCTCGAACTCAGAGAGATCCACTTACCTCTGCCTCCTGAGGGCTTGGTACACCCTTTTTTATCCTGAGTTCTAGGGTGTCAGTTCAGGTCTTTTTTTTTTTTTTTTTTTTTAATCTCCTTTTTAAATTAGTTATATTTATTGTATGTGCTTTGGTGTTTTGCCTGCATACGTGTCTGTGTGAGGGTGTCAGATCCCCTGGAACTGCAGTTACAGACAGCTGTGAGCTGCCGTGTGAGTGCTGGGAATTGAACCCAGGTCCTCTGGAAGAGCAACCAGTGCTCTTAACCACTGAGCCTCCTCTCCAACCCCCAGTTCATATATTCATGCTTGAGTGGCTAGCATCTCGCAGCTACTTCCTTCTCAACAAGCTCTCCCCCAGTTGAGTTCTTTACCCACCGAGCCAATGCCTTGGCTGACTTGTTATAAAAAGGTGTCTCCGGTGGCTTCTGGATCGGTTGGGGAGAAACAGCAACATCAGCTATTCATTCAGCAGATTCTGAAACCTGACACTGGGCAGGCTGGAAAAGTGTGCCAGAGGCCACGTGGAGAAGGTCCTTTGTCTTGTCCCATTATGGACAGCAAGGCTCACCACTGCCGGGCCTAGCGAGGCACTATAGCTGGAAATGGCTGTGCTGCCCTCAGAGCTCTAAGCTGCACGCTTGATCCCCTAGGTGGTAGTGTCAGGAGCTGGTGGGGCCTTTAAATAGCTCCAGCCTCCCAAAACCCCTTCTTCTCTCTCTCTCTCTCTTTTTTTTTTTTTTTAATTTTTCATTTTTTTGTTTGTTAACATTTTGTGACAGTTTTTTCCATGTAGCTCAAGCTGGCCTGGAATTTGTGACAATCCTCCTGCCTCCTGAGTGCTAGCATTAGAAGCAGGAACCATACGACACTTGGCCTCTGCTGTTTGGCTGTAGTTGGTGCAGGCATGGCTGGTAAAGGTGCTCGCCGTGCAAGCCTGGCCAGACCTAAGGAAAGGAGGAGGAAAAAGCCAACTCTAACAAGCTTGTTCCTCTGACCTCCACAAGTGTACCAATGGCAAACATGTGCGTGGGTGGGCACACGTGTGCGCACACACGCACACACGCACACACACACATGCATGCACGCACGCACGCATGCACGCACGCACACACACAAAGCTTAAAATAAAATCTTTAAAAATATTATGAATATAGGAGGCAGTGATGGTGTTTGCCTGATCTGTCTTCCACTGGAGCTGAAGAAGCTCTCCTTGACCGCTAGCAGTCTCCATTTCTCAATTTCTTAAAAGAGGCCAGAGCAGGTGAGAAGCTCCATGGCCTTACCCCTCAACTGGCCCTAGTGAGCGCAGGACCAGGGTTGGAATCTAAGCCTCTGTTTGGGACCTCCATTCTCTCTCTACCTACTTTAGACCATTACTACCGAAGGCTGAGTCAGAGGTGGGCTGTTGAGGCCGAGTTTATTGAGCCGTTAGCCTGTTGTGTGCACTGGGAGTAACAGTCAAGCCTGTCCCTCCTGCCTCCGTGGTCCTTTCTGTTCCTGCAGCCTTGATTGTAGAGATGGACATATCTGCTCCGTGGGAAGTAAGTCTTCCATTTCCTGAGAGAGCCTCAGGGACTACCCCAGACCATGTCTGGGAAACTGGTGGGGACAGGAAGAAGAGTGGGCTGGCATTGTTTCTTGGGGCAGGGGTAAGGGGCAGAGTGTTGATCAGTCACCCTGCCTGGGGCCAGGAATGGCTGTGGGTGGTGGGCAGGCTGGCTCAGCGATGGGCTTCCTAGGCTGTTCAGGGCAGGCCCCTGGGTTTTCTGTAGACTCCTCACCCACGTCAGAAAGTTCAATGAGGAGGCAACATGTCTCCTCCAATTGGATGGTCCCAGTTAAAGGACCAAGTGCCAATAGCGACTAAAGGAATTCACGGACTCAGACAGTCATGCCTGATGGTTTCTTTTTTTCTGGAGGGCCTGGCAGGTCTCTTCTACCCTCCTGGATGTCTCTATGGGAAACATGTCATGGGAGGGGTGCAGGCCATATAGGGAGGGAACAAGCCTCTGCCCAGAGGCTGCAGAGGGAGGAATGCTGACAGGGAGTCTGTACAGGGAGGGTGAGGAAGGGGATGGCTCACTCTAGAACTGCCAGCACCTTCCCAGGCCAGCAGTGGGCAGAGGGCAGGGCTAGCAAAGCCTCGGGTAGCCTCAGGCCTGGAAGTGCAGGGAGGAAGGCACAGTGGTAGAAGGAGGTGTGGGGGCAGGGGCTGCACTTGTCCACTGTGTCTGAAGGCCCGTCACTTGTCCATGTGCTGCAGCAGCAGCTCTACGGCCTCTGCGAGGTTGTCCACGTACCCATCTGCCTTCACTTCTGGATGATGCTCGTCACCAGGCCTGGAGGACAGGGCCATAGGTTAGTCTTGGAGGATAGCAGTCCATTTTTGCTGTTACTGTATACTAGAGCTCAGGTAACAAAATAAAGAAAAGACATTTCTGTAGTTCCAATTTTAGAGACTGGAAATCCTACATGAGGCCCTTGCTTCAGCCTCATGGAGAGCATAAGGTTAATGTGTAGTACATGAGAGTGATTCAGGGGTCAGGCTTAAGCTCTAAGAACTCACTCCTTAACCACTGAGCCATCTCTCCAGCAGGGTGAGGTGGCACACGCATGTGATCCCAGCACTCAGGGAGGCAAAGGCCCTCATCCCAGGAGCCATGCACAGCCTTGCCAGAACTGAGCCAGAATCTGGTCATGGCCACCAGAAAGCCCCTTCCCATGGCCCCCAGACTTCATGGTGTCACACTAAGCAGTCAACTAGGGTATGGCTGGAGGAGGGCTAGCCTCTGCAACCCTCCCAGTGCTGAGGGACATGCTGCGAGATTACTCCAGGCTTGACTCACACTTCCTGGGAACTCTATCTACCTGCAGTATTATTGCCCCCTCAAGACTTCACCCAGTCTGAAGTACGTGATTCTGCTGCCTGGCAACAGCTAAAATCCATGCTGTCCTTTTCTGAGATTGGATTCTCACAACCATAAAATGTCTGGGCTGGAGGTCACCTCCTGGAGGGAAGAGGCCTCCCTGCAGCTGCTAAGGACAAAAGGGATCAGGGGAGCATCTCCCCTCTGGGAAGGGCGATAGGAATAGCTTAGCTCCACACTCATGGGTAAGGCCTGTGCTGGAAGGATAGGAAACAGCCAGGGCATGAGGGCATGATGGGTAGCCAGAAGCAGTCTGAAAAGATACAAGGCCTAAGCCCAGCTTCTACCATTATCCTGGGGATGTTCACAGTCACAGCCCTGGTCCTCGGGTCCTGGCTGGAAGTGGGGCAGAAGCAGCTTTGCCAGGTGTCCCGCTCACCCGGGTACTTACTGTTTGGAGTCTGGGGCTTGTGGGCCTACTTGGAGGAGGTGCTCCTTCCAAACACCGCCCTCTCCCTGCAAAGCAGTCCGTGGTGGGTCCCACAAAACCTTCAGGATGAGGTCAGCCTCCACCAGAATCGCTGCCCTCCTGCCCTCTGGTGGGTCCCTCACAAGGGCAAAGGAGTATTTTCTGCCAAACTAGTTCCTCCAAACTTGAACCTGCCCCTCCATCCCCTTCCCGCTCTCCTACAGCCATGGATGTTCACCCCAAATGCTCACCTGCTCTGACTCACCCCCTGTATAAACTGCTAACTGTTCCAATGCCCACCGCCAAGATCCTCAGCAGAGCTGAGTTTCATCCTGCCTAGATCCCTCCACATGACAGCCGCCAGCTTCAGACATTCCCCACACTTAGAGGCCACTGTCCATGCCAAGCTTTAGAATCCTTCCCTCCCACATTCTCCCTTGGTAGCCCAGGCTGCCTTCAAACTTACAGCAGTCCTCCTGCATTGGCTGTTAACCACTATGCCTTTCTTTACAGTGCTCTTGAAATTTGCTCCGTGAGCACCCTGCGCCCTATAAGAAAGACTCCACTCCCTGGCCCCTATCTCCGACTCTGCACTGCCCATAGAGTGGGGTGCTCTTTGAACATACGGACACTGTCCCTGTCCTGCTGCAGCTGGACAACACCTTGCTTCACCCCCTGCCAATGACGGTGCTGTGTATGCTCCCTAGAAGACGGGGCCAAGTTTCTTGCCCTCTGTGTCCCCAGAGCAGGGTTGGCCCTCAGCAGCACCCAGGAAGTGTCACCCAGTGAATGAACAAAAGGCTTGGGGGGGGGGGCAGGGTGCTGGCTGTCATTAGCTATTCCTCCCCCACATGCCCTGGGAGCCGAGTGCAGGGAACGATTGAGTAAGGGCAGAAACAAGGCGGTTCTGTGCACACAGCCCACGGGCCAGCTTCACAGGGATGGGCTTTGTACCCCTCGAAAGAAAATGACACAGGGACCCAAGCAAAGAAGTCCAGAAAGGACCGCCTCCTGCCACCTCCACCTCCAGGGCACAGATGGCAGGAGCCCATGGAGGACCTCCTTGGGGCAGCACTGCCAGGGGGCTCCCTCCTGCCCTTTCCCAATCACCCCTGTTCCCAAGAACAGGGGATGACAGGGTTCTCAGAGGCATTTTTTTGTCCATTGTTTTGAATCATTTGGGCTGGCTGCCCCTGGTGGCTACAGCCAGCTCCTGGGGCTTGCCCAGGGAAAGAACATTCAGTCAACTGGGAACTGGCATGGGGGTAGTGATGCCAGCTTTAGGCCACTCTTACGCAGCTGGAGGACAGAGGGTACTGCCTCAGGGGCCAGATGCAAAGGGCATTTTTACATGAGTGTGGGTGTGACGGGACTCTGAGCCACCGGGAGCCTGGAAACCAGAGCACGGCTCCTGCAAAGACCAGGAGGACGGGGCTGGGGAGACGGGCCTCATCCGGTCTATAAAGCCAAACTGTTATGGAAGCCTACAGGGGACACCTCTCCACTGAGCATGTATTTAAACCAAAAGGGTTCCTGCTGTCTACCTACTGGCTCGCAAGACACAGTTTCCTGGGTTCCAGAGGAGCAAGCAAGAGGCCAGGATATCTTATGCCCAGCCAGTAGCCATGCCCTGGGCTGGGCTGGGTTGGGCTGGGCTGCTGGCAGGTGCCTGCAGGTCAGTGATCTCCCAGTAAAGTAGCTGGGTGGTTGGCATTGGACACACTTCCCAGGCAGATGGTCCTATCCCTGATTTCTGTTATAACGCTAGACCTAGGCTATGGAGGTGGATGGGGAAAGAATGTGCCTAGAACTGGGGGTTCCCAGCCCTGTGCCTCAGGGAAAACACTGGCTCATATGACTATGAAGATACTTCGGTAGGCGTCCTTCCCGTGGAGTCCATGTCCTTGTTCAGCCAAGGCCTTGCTGGTATCTACTGTATTTAAGCCCTGGTGGCTCAGAGACAAAGCGATTTATTCCTGTCACAGCCCTTGGAGGGCTGGGCCTGCCTGGTGCCCTTAGTTCATGGTACCTAGAACCTCGGGCACCTGCACTCACTCTTGGACCCCTCAGCCTGAAGTCTGTATCTTCATCTGTGTCCCCATCTGATACCAGCTGAAACCACCATGGACAAGGCTTCATGGAGAGTCTTCATTGGCCTGGAGCAATCTGAAGGTTGGGCACAAGTCCAGGATCAAGGCCATCACCCAGCTCCAAGCTTCAAAAGAGGGGCTGGCTAATGGTATGCCTGAAAGAGTCCTCATGTGGCCCCGACTGAGGTGTTTCAGTTGCTGTTCTACTGTTGTAGGGAGACTAAGCAGCATATAAAAGAAGCATTTAACTGGGGGCTTCCTTATAGCTTCAGTTGGTTAGCTGGTCTATGGTCATCACGGCAGGAAGTACGCCTTAGGCATGCAGGCATGGTGCTGAAGAGATGCTGAGGGCTTACATATTATCAGCAAGATGGGGAGGGAGGGAGAGAGACAGACTGGGCCTGGAGTGGGCTTCTAAAACCTCAAACCCAACCCCAGGGACACACCTCCTCCGACAAGGCCACACTTCTTAATCCTTCCTAAGCAGTCCACTAACTGGGAACCAAACATTCAAGTATATGAGCCTATGGGGTCATGCTCATTAAACCACTATATTAGGCCTGTGGCTCCCTGTCCACTAGAGGGAATGGAGACCTCTTCTGTGGCTGGCACCTCCCTTGCAGTCAGAGTTCTAATCAGCACAAGTGACTCAAAAGTTCTACATCTTGGCAGCCCAACGGAGCAAGAATGTGCCCAGGGTCTGGTCCAGTGTCCTGCCCAGTGCTCTGCCATTTTGGCTCTGCAGTGGGAGCACCCCCTTCCCCAGATATCCCAGCAGAAGTGCAGTGCAGCTGAAAATGCTGTGTGCTTTGAGGACCAACCAGCCCAAACCCTAAGCCCTGCAGTTCTCCATGGAGGCAAGTGGGCTGAGGAGGAGGGCAGAGGCCCTCTGTGCAGTGGTGAGGAGCCCTGTATCCCAACACTATCCAGATGAGCTCCAATACGGCTCTGCCCCAGCTCCCATCCCCCTCCCAGGGCTCCAGATGGCTGTTCCCACTCTTACTCCACCTCCACCAAGGGCAAAAACCTGTCAGCATGTCAGCAGAGCTAAGAGCTGGGTGGGGACCCGTGCCCCCAACTGAGACACACCCTCCTTGCATGTGTGTAGCATATGTTGGAGGCTGGGCACGCAGCCCAGAGGCAGAAGGGGGCATGTTGTCTGTTCTAGCCCCATGGCTCCCTGAGGTCCCTGGTGCTCTCAGCCCCATGTACAGCTGAAGACCTATGGTGGGTCAGGCTCACCTAACAACTCCCTGAGCCAAGCAGCGCCCTAAGGACCTGGAGCCTATCCCAAGCTGATCTGTCTTCCAACTGGGAGAGATCAGGGGTCTCCCCTAGCAGGGGGTGGTGCTTGTCAGGCCAGTTTCAAGGGCACTGAGCCTGCTGGGTAAAATGAGGCAGGGAAAGGAGTTATCAGAGGTCTTACATATTTTCAAGAGCCACAGACTCAGGCTAGGGGCTGTGGCTGCTTGTTGGGCATGTGACATCCTGGTCTCCTGCCTGCCCCACTGGGCCCTAGGACTTCTGAGTGATTTCTGAGCCCGTAGATAGACAGCAGGACGCTGCGTCTGGTGGAAGGGTGTCTCCTATGGCTTCAGAGCAGCTATGACTTATAGCCAGAGAAGGCAGGCCTTCCAGCCCCACTCTCTTGGCTTTTATTGTGAGGCAAGCCTGTTGGTGTCCCAGACCCTCCCCCCACATATCCCAGAAGCAGAGATACCCTTTGCTTCATTACCTCTGACCCCGTGAGGTGACACTCCTGGCCCTGAGTTCAGGGTGGAAGATTATCAGCAAGTATGTGAGCCGCACTCTAGAGTCACAAGGTCCTCTACCTGTGTGGGTACAAACTTTGCAGAACATCCCCATGAGCTCTGCCCTGTACTTTGTACAACTGTGGCCTGAATCTCCAGAGA